AAACACCATGACCACTACAGCTAAATAAATAAAGAAAAAAATGAATTGACGGGTTAGTTGAAAAGACTAAAACTCAGTCGTTATTTGGTTACTTAAATTCTATGAACTCAATTTTATGTATGGAAAAAAATAATAATGAAGGAAAAAAGTAGGTTTAAGTTCAGCTTTTACCATTTCGAAGGAGAAAGTGATTATAGCAAGACATTATTCTGCGGGCAGCTGCTAAATGCCGAGTGCTTCGTTCTTCAAATCAGTTGGACGCCATCGGAAAATGCTGTCTCTCTCAATTTCCTTTTTAGCCAGACAGTGTTATCGCAGACTTGAGACCTCAACCAAGCGTACAATAAATGAAGTAATCTGGATTCCCTGAAAACGAAATTAAAATCCCCAAATCTTTGTCAGTTCATTGGTTCGTCGTGAAAGGGACAGCTTTTCATTGGCTACTGACTTTTGTTTTGACTGACGAGGGTGCATCTGAAAGATGCTGTCTACTTCGAAACTTTCTCGTGTCAGTTAATCCCAGCTGAGAAAACACAGTTTAGTTCACCCTCTCTTCTCTCTTATTGCTTGACTACCGACGTGGAACTGCGAAGTAAAACAGGAAAGGAAGGCTGTGAATGTAATCTGAAAATCTCTGACGGTAATTTCATGCTTTCTTTCGATCCCTCACCTTGTCGATAATATTGTCACAGGGCTTTTGTGTAATGCCACTTGTCATTCAGCGCTGTCATTGTTGAGTCTCCACGCTTTAGACAAATGGGTTCGTTATCCAGTTTTATTCATAAGTAAACAGTCAAAATAATGTCTCACCTATTGAATTTTAAAGACGTGACTTGAATTGAAAACAAACTGTTTCGTGATCTTCTCTCATCGAAAATGCCACCAATATTGCTAGTTTTTTTTAATTCTTTTTTTCAGTGCAGTGACAAGTGATTCCCTTTCTCAACCACTTTGTACTAGTAGTGTTTTTAAACGAACAAATGCAAAATGATAATTTAAGGGCTACATCCATTGTACATCAGGGGTTTTAGTGTTAATTCTACGTACTGTATCGGAGTAAAACAACGATACACTTCCAATTCCTTAAAGGTGTATAAACTGACACATTTACACTGACATTTTTTTTATCATAATTTGTCGTTGAGTCGTCTGACATCTAGCTTTCATTTGGACATCTCTCGGGGTTAAAAATGGACGGACAAAATTCTTTGAGGCTGGATCGAATTAGGAACCTTTTCCACGGAAATTCCAAATGTAATTTACGTGTCAGCTTAGAATCTTTATCGTCTCTTGTTATGACACCTTCCAAATTTCGATAAAAAAAAAACTTTCCGCGTTCTGAGATTGAAATGTCGCAGTTTGCCTAACGCACGTTCATAGATGTTATTTTTTTTAATGTTTCGTACGTTATTCGTCCCCGAATAAGCTCCATGTTTTGTCGATTTTCTCCACACCTTTCGTCATATTTCTACTCTTTATAGGTTAACATAAGAGGAGTCTGTTTTTAGGCACGATTTTCAATCCGTGTTACACAAGACAACTTTTGACGCAAATCTTTTGCAACTAGTACTGGCGACAAAATTATATTACAGGAAAAAAACTTAAATTATTCTGGCTACATCCAACTCTTTGAATCGCCTCCTAAAACTTGAGCTATATAACCTCTGATAAAATGTTAAGTCAAGATGCTCGTTATCTGTCAATCGCCACCGCATGCAAGACTCGACTGCTGTAATATCACCGAGCGGCCACGCACATCTTAAAACTAGTAAAATAAACAAACTGACTCACTCATGAATCACTATTTTTTTCCCTTTTTCTTGACGTAAGCTCGTTGAATAGTACAGTGAGTTCTTCGAGAATTTGGATAAGAATAATTTTGGGAAATTTTCGTTGACAAAGCCATCTGGCGGTTGTAAGGCAATGGGATAAAAATATGTCTTCAGTAAGTAATGTAGCTTTAAGGCTCAAATACGCCATTCTTATAAATTCGATATACCGAAAGGTGCAAGAGCAGTTCTAGGTACATATGTTAAGAGGTGAAAATTGAGTTATTCTAAGAATAGAACTGTTCTATCGGAGCAATTTTTGATTGAGCATCCAGAGTAATCCGGCATCGCATTGGTTTTGCATTTCTTCGCACCGTGATTGGTCCAGAAAACTCGCACCAATCTCTAAACCGATCTGATGCAAAAAGA